ATATTATAAGTCGTATTCTGAACTTCAACTCGTTTACATGCGCATAAAATTTAATTGAAATTTGATTTTTCACCTACCCCACAAAAATAAATCTAAAGGGGTGAGATCTGGTGATCCCGCAGGCCATCTAATTGTGCCGTTTATATCAATGCAGGTATTCAAATGGTTATTAATGTAGGCAGTAGTGATTCTGCTGTTATGGGCTCGAGTACAATTATTTGGTTTAGCTCTTGCTCGGGGAAATTATTTAACTCATTTCTTAAGAGATCCTGTATTTCAAGATACTTGACAGGTTTCACTCGAGACCAAAAGTGGTAATTGCGGTGACATGCCGTTATTGCTGAATGATATGATTTTATAGACGACGGACATATTAACAGAGCACATGCAGAATTTGATTCTAAATCTGAATCTGGTACGGAATTGTGACCTCATATTTTTTTTCTAAGATTATTTTTAATTTTTTCAAACACTATGGACAACCTATTAGAAATTCCTACCTTCCTCAATATAATAACCTGCTGATGAATAAATAGCTGATCTCACTGTGCCGTTGCTGTTCTCTGTTTGAATTGTTGCTGTCTGTTAGGTCACTACTCTTAACGGGATATTATTTCTTGTCAAAATAAAATATTAATATATTTTTTTTAATTATGGAATGCTAAAATAATATTATGTCAAAGTATGTACTTCGTCTTAAAAATCGTCCTGTATGTTTTATAACAAAACAATTTATTTTTGGCAAAAATTTAAGTCATAATAAAAATTGTTTTTTGAATCCAGTACCGAAGACACTCCGAGAGCTCCCGAACAAACCTGAGCGCTTGTGACTCCATAATGTTAGTTTTCACTCATTGCAGTTTAGAGAGATATAAGTACAGTGTTTTGATCAATTTAATTTTCTTGTCATTGCTTAATATTGAAAATGTCGAACCTCAAAAGTTATCGTTCTTGTTTTGTACCATTTTAAACGAATACAACAAAAAAAAACTCCTGATTGATGTTTTGAATTACACAACACGGCGATCGGTTCGAGACTGGTTTAATTATTATTAGGATCATGTAGGTAGATGGTTACAGTTAGGTACACAGAAATAATTTAATCCACCCGCAACCACAATACATTACATTTCTCCCATATTTAAAACTAATTGTAAAAATAAAAATAAATCTGATATGAGTGGAATAATTAGAATGAAAGTTATCTTATTCCGCTTACACTAAGAAGTCAGCTTACTGAGTACTACATACTGGTATAATACTAACTCATTCAAATAAATTTAAACACAAGCGATAAAACTCTTCAAAACAACTTCGGATTATACCAACTTAAACATAACGAAATATACGTATTTCTCCCTATACTAAATAGGGTGCTTTGTAATTTAATTGACAAAAATAAAGAGAAAATAACAAAAAAAAAAGACTGTGCACTGGCGAAGAAGTCGCCTCACAAGTAAATAATATATATACGCGTAACCATAGGAGATACCAAACCACGCTTTAAAGATTCAGTTATAACTTTATTTAGATTTGTTCAGGAAATGAAATCTATACTATATAAACGAGTAGAATCAGCGTGTCTGTACATTGAATATATTTATGAAAAAATGAAATAGGGTATCTTAAAAAGAGTTATAAGAAACATAATGACCATTTTTAGAATTTTTGTCTGTCTGTATGTCTGTCCGTCTGTGTGTCTGTCTGTTCGCGATAAACTTGAAAACTATTTATCGGATTTTGAAGCAGTTTTCACTGGTTACTTAAGCGAAGCTTGGGGCAACATCTAGGCTTTGTTTCATCTCAATCGGTTTACTCAAACGGGAGGTATGGGAGTTTTAAGGTTAAAGCAGTGCAGTCACAAACAGTTATCAGTTATCCTACTACTGGACTAATTTGTATGGCGTTTTTAAAAGTATTCAAGATTAATTCTGTGCAACATTAAAGCATTGTCTTATTGCAAATGGTTCACAAAAAAAAGTTATGCGAATACTCACAAACCATAGGATCGAGTTTAACGGGGTTTTTGACAGGTTTACAGTCCAACTTTCTCGTAATATTTAAGTATCATTTGATCGTAATCTTATCCTTTAAACGAGCAATTCTTGTATATCTATACTATAATAAAAGAATAGAATCGGCGTACCTGTACATTGAATATATTTATAAAAATGAAAAAGGGTATCATAAAAAGTGTTATAGGAAACATAAAAATCATTTTTGGAATTTTCGTCTGTCTGTATGTATGTCTGTCTGTCTCTTTGTCTGTCAGCGATAAACTTGAAAACTACTTATCGGATTTTGATGCAGTTTTCACTGGTTACTTAAGCAAAGCTTGGGGCAGTATCTAAGCTTTGTTTCATCTCAACAATCCTGCATAGGTAAGTTACGATAAGAAGATAAGAATATAGTTCACGTGAAAACTAGATGGCGTTGTTAAAGTCCTAAAAAGCGCCGACCATTTGCATTTTAATAATAATAATGCGAATTTCTTCGATTGAGATATATACGATAGGTTCGATTTTAGTTCTGCTCGGTATACGGATGCTCTTGATTTTGCTTTGCGATTTGGTTAGTTGTTAAACCGTGAGTTAGCTCATTCTCTGGGCGCTCCCTTTTAATTTAATATACTCGAGTAACCTGAGTTCGATCCCCGGTGCCGGCACCAATGAAATTTTTAATTTTAAGTGCTGACTTATCATGTGCTCAACAGTCAAGGAAAACATCGTGAGGAAACCTGCATGTTTTCGAAATAATAAGGAAAAAAAATTGAAAATATGTGAAGCACGCCAATCTGCAGTGGGGCCGCATGGTGGACTATGCCCTGATACCCTCTGTAATGAGGATGTCTCGCCTTGCAGTAGTCATTTAAAGGCTGTTACTTTATTTTTTACGTTTTAAATGTTAATAACAGTGGTGGTTTTCTCCATAGGCGTACTTTGGCGGGCCAAATGTGGGGTACAACCATTAGTGGGGATTTTTTAGTAGCGTTGCTCGCCTTTCGCTTCTGGCTTCTTTGCGTTGGCGATATTCCATAAAAATTATAACAAATCAAGCAGGCCTGGTAAGTAAGGTACCATTCGTCAGCTCTATAATATCATGTACTTTCTTCGTTTAATTTTTTGTGCCTTCCAGGTGCCTGCGAGTCGGTTCTCTTAATCTTTAATGAGCCTAGGGCAATCAACGGACAAATCTATCACTGTTTAGGAATATAGATTTGGTTAGGCTAGGATATTGGGATATTATTTTGCTTTGTGGTTTGGAAATTTGTTTTTTGTCACTGACTCACAAATTGTATCTGATATTTTTTTTGTAATTGAGATACTTATTTTGTTGTATTTTCTCAATAATTGAACGTAAAAAATATATTAGATTCGGTATCGACTTATTATAGTATTTATTACAAAAAATGCCTCGATAGAATTAAAAATGGTTGAGAACGATTGGATCTCAACAATTTAATGAAAACCAAACACGACTTAGTGCTGATACCCATTTCGCCATAGACGCCATTCATTATCTCGCACATTAGAGTTATAGGTTATAGACAATAGACATTGGAGTAAAGTAAAAAGGTAAACTGAGAGTGAATTTTGACTGAGCACCGGTAAAGGCCGTTGACAGAACACTACATTACAAACACCGAGATGAAAGGCCAATGGGGAACGTCACAGTTGTTTTCTCTGGAGATGTTCAAAACCTTTCCTCTCATTAGTCAGTGGACTAAAGCGAGAAAATAAATGCCTCACAGAAGCGTTCTTATCTCTGGCCTCAAAAACACAAGTTACAGTTTACAGTTAACGTGCGGACTCCGGATAATTCTTGGTTTGTAGCAATGACCATGCCACAAATTAGCCGGTTGAGTTTTTAAGTTCGCTTCGTCGGTATAAAATTGTACAATGGCGGATTCCATTTTCAACTTCATATAAACTTAACTTCATATAAACATAACTTTTCTTCAGAATATTTTTTTAAGTGGGGTTCTCATACAACAGACATAATTTTTTTGCCGTTTTTAAAGATAACGGTATGGAAACCTTCGTGCACGATTGCGACTTGCACTTGGCTGGCTTTTAAATTTATATAATCTTACAATCATCATCATTTTACATACCATAATATAATTATAGTTAGTTTCATCAAATTCAGCTGTAGCTATTACTTTTTTTTAAGTTGATATAACTTTTTTTATTTATGAACCGATTTGAATAAAACTAACACTAAATGTTAATTGAAGTACTACAATGCATTAGTGAAAAAACACCCAAATCGATTGAGCCATTTCTGAGATTAGCGCGCATAAAAGCACAGATACACAGGCAACAATTTTTACAACCATTGTTTTTGGTTCTGTTGTGTTGATAAAAGGAACCTGTAATAATAGTTTTTCTCAAATGTCTTTCATGTACAGACTAAGACAAGTTACATTTTTATAATTTTTTTAGATATCTTTCTGTATCTGTCTGAAGTTTTCGCTTTCACCCTATTCCACGCGGACGTAGTCGCAGGCAACAGCTAGTGTGTAATGCGAGATATATATATTTTACAACGCACAAAGGCCAAATTAAATTACTGATAAAGATAAATTAAAAATATTCTTTATGATTCATTTTTTTACTTTACGCGGACGTAAGTTATATCTACGAGGTGTTTGATTAGCAGGTTCAGACGGAGGCAAAATATTATGATCTGGTAAAGGTGATGAAATAGAATTGTCATCGCTTGTCAACTTAATTAATATATTATAAAAAAAAACGAAAATATTTGCATGTTCAACAAGTAACTTACAGTGATAGGGTCCATCCTTAACACTATTCTCAACCGTTAAAATGCGGTACAAGCCGTCACTATCATCACTCCCGGAATAACTTTTTTCAATATAATTTTGAAACTTTGACTTATTGGCACTACCACTAGACACGTTTTTTGTGTCCATTTGTGCCAAGTGACCTTTTTGATTGCACTTGTTGCAAACGAGCGCTTTATACCTGCACTTATTAGCTGCGTGACGCTCGCAAGCGCGTGGGCCCCGCAACGACGTGGTGCAGGCCGGCTGCACCCAGCCCAAGTCCCGAGCCGACCGGCGATGGCACCCCGCCGTGGCTGCCGACTCCGACTGCCTCTGCATGCCGTTCCGCTGCCTCTGATTCGAGCGCCAACTCCACCGCCTTTTTGTAGTACAAAGTGGATTCAAAATCAAAATCAAAAATATATTTATTCAAATAGACGCTTGCGCGCTCTTATGAATCGTCAAATTTTACATTAAAGATTATGTGTATAGGTTCGTAAGGTACCACCGGTTCGGGAAGCAGTTTCTGTTGAGAAGAGACCGGCAAGAAACTCAACAGTTGCTCTTTTTCAAAAGTATCAATTTACAATATAATAAACAGGTACAATAGTCTTATTCTAGCCTACGTGAGTATCAACAGTATCAACTCCACACATTGGCGTCGTCGAGATATTCCGAAATGGTATAGTACGCTTTAATCATTAGTTGATTTTTAATTTTACATTTAAATTGGTCAAGCGGCAGACTTAATATCGACTGTGGGATTTTATTATACATGCGCACACCCTGCCCCATGAAAGACTTATTTACTTTTTGTAGACGAAACAAT